CCATCTATCCATCCATCCACCCATCCACCCATCCGCCCATCTATCCATCCATCCATCCATCCACCCATCCACCCATCCACCCATCCACCCATCCACCCATCCTTCCATCCATCCATCCATCTTCCCATCAACCACTTGCCTCCATCATCCATTTTCCCATCTGTCCATCCATCTGCTCACCCAATCCACCCATACACTGCACCCCACACTCTGGGGCGCCGGCTCAGTGCCAGGCCCCATGCTGCATAACATAGAGTCAACCAACACAGCCCAAGGATTTGAGGCCTCCCTGTCTACATCCACTGTCCTCCCACAGGTTAGGGTCTTCCAGGGCCTCACAGAGTGTGTAGCTCCTTGGTGCGAGGGGCAAGGGGGGCACTTTGAAAGAAGGAGTGGTCAGTCTAATCTGAAGGAGTCAGGGAAGGTGCTGTGTCAGAAGAAGGCCACGGTTGGGTTCACAGAGTTAGGGAGGGAGAGGAAGGGCACTCAAGGGGAGGGGGCAGAACATGCACGCCTCAGCTAGGTGTTGGGGTTCTCTGGGCTGCAGGACCTGGGAGGGGCAGGATGGGGTTTCTGGGGGGTAGTGGCTGGGAGATGCTGTGGAAGTCCAGGCAGGAGGGGGTATGGTTGCCCCCGGAAGAAGACGGGGAGGACTAAGCTGAAGCAGATCAAGAGGTTTGGTGGAGGTGACAGGGTGAGCCCTGGGAATGGCGATCTGACAGTCTCCCCAGGAAGCCCTGTGCCCAGCTAGGTCCTACCCCTGCCCCTGCCCCTCAGCCCCTGCTGCATGGGTGCAGCTCCTCGAGCTCCTCCCCCACCTCTAGGCCTTTACATCGGCTCTTCCCTTGCTGGGGACCCTGTCCCATGAGGCAGACCTGCATGATGAAGCTGGGGACCCGCTAGGGTTCCCATACTTGCCTTACTCTGCTTCCCTGCGGTCTGGCAGAGACAGGGTGCTCCCTGCCCAGCAGACAAGAGCCTTGTTCCCATCTGCTGCACACCCAGTCACTTCCTACACCTGGGGCTTCTGGTCTCAGCAATGGATGGTAGTCCCTTCCCTGCCCACCCTCGGGCCACACAAGGTGAGGCGGGGGTTTGGAGAAGCATTGAGGAAGAAGTTCGGAGGGGCCTGGGTTCCTGTTGCCTGCCCTGCATCTGGCCATAAGGAGTCCTTGTTAAGCCCTCAGATGTGGCTGAAGGCTGGGGGTCTGCCCAGGCCCCCAGGTGGTAGCTCACCTCTGGTCACACCAGGGACGGCCCCGGGCAGGGGACCCCCTCGTGTCTCTCTGCCCCTGTGTCCTTTCTCATGTGGTGACACCAGGCAGGGCCAATGTCATTCCAGGTCGGCCTTCGGAGCCTTGCTGGGGAGGAAGCATTCTGTTTCCCTCCACGGGCACAGTGGCTGGGTCAGGCCTCTTGCCTTCCTGGGGCCCAGCTGCAGGCTAGGTCCCCCCAGGCTTGGATTCCAGACAGCAGGGATCCTGGGTCAGGGCAGAGGCTGAGCCATGAGTATTTATGGCCTTGGTGGCAGGGGGTGGTGGTGGTACTGCAGTGCCCATGTTTTGCAGGTTCTGACCATTCAAGATGCTGTGTTCACCACTGAGTGCTTAAAAATGCTTCGGAAGAAGCCACCTGACCAGCCAGTGGTGGAAACCACAGTGAATTATTGTCATGGATCTGCAGCAGGGCTGCGGGTGCTCAGCGGGGCAGACTGGCTGGGGATCCAGACCCCTGGGCTGGGTACTCTGTTCCTGAGATATGCGCTTCCAGGGCTACTCCTGGGGTCTGCAGCCAGCCGGGTGTATGCTCCTTGTATCTAAGGCAGAGATCTGGGACCAAGCAGAGGGCCTGGGGCTGGGTGAATTGAAACTCTACCCCTTCCTGATCGTTCTGTTGGCCAAAGAGGGCCATGGCCTTGGTGTGGACATAGGACAGCCCTGAAAAGCATGTGTCTTCCCTCAGGCCCCTGCAGATGGCTTGCTAATGATCCTCATGCTGGGCCTATAGATGGGGGCCTGTTCCCATTTGGCTTCCACAGGAGGTTCCAAGAGGTACAGTTATCTGGCCAAGAGCACACAGCTGATTAGGGCAGAGGTCAGCCTGAGCCTAGGATGGATTTTCGCCTTCTATGGGGGAAACTTCAGCCCCAGGAGCAGTGCTAAAAATGCCCAGGTAGGAGGTCGGAGATGAAGACCGTGGTGGCACTGACCTCTTCTGGAAGTGGGACACCCACGGGCTTGCTAGCTGGGCACAGTGACCACTTGAAATTGCATTTTTCATTATCAGACCTTCCTTGAATGTGGTGTTTCAGCAAGACTGTCATTCACTTAGGAAACACGAATTGGGGACAGAAGGAAAGTGATCATTTGCTCTGCAGAAATCCAAGCCTGGGAGCCAGGAAACTTGGGCTTCCTCTCACTTGCAATTATCTGTCCTCAGGGGGACAGGAAATGTCCTCCAGGCCATGGCCTCCCTTCGGCCCCCGGGGAGCAGCAGAAATTTCCCTGAATCATCTCAAACTGCATGGGAAGAAAAGACGTCTCGGGAGGGCGTGGCGGATTGGTCTGCAGCCTGGTCAGCTCTTCTGGGAGCCGATCTTTGGTTCAGAATGAGCATCATCAGGAAGAGCCTGACCTGAAGCAAATGTGATCATTTTTTAGTGTCGCTATCAGCAATTCCCAAGGCATTGACTCCTCAAGGGTGGTCTGTTTCCAACCACTTCTGCATGGCCAGGCACTGCACTAATAATTTTAAAATAGAAAAATGAATGAATATTTCCAAAACACTTGCCCCATGTAGGGCTCTGTGATCAAATACTTCGGGGAAACATGCATCCTCATGAAGGTTCATGATGCTTACTGACACCTTCAAGGCTCTGAGAAGTCCTGCAGCAAAGGACTGCTGGATTTCTTAAACTCAGCAGTTTCAAAGCCATTTGGCCACTAGCCACGTTTCCCTCCACATCCTGAGTCAAACTTTTGCACAATTCTGGCTCTCAGGGGATGCAGATCGGGGCTCCGAGGCGATCCTCCAAAGTTTGCTTTCTGTGAATCCTACATATAATGTTCATGACCAGGATGTGAACAATAGCAGTGATTGCAGATCTCATTTCCCACAGCGTCCGGTGGGGGGAGGACTTGGGGACACAGCGACAGGATGGAGCAGTGGCGCCCCCCGGTCTGGATGGCCCTGGGGTGTGTGAGGCGACTTTCGTTTCCTGTTCTGCAGCTCTGGCGAGGACACCTGCAACCACGTTCTTCCCTGTCCTGCACGCACTCTGTCTCTCCAGTGGAATGACAGGATGTCCCAGGCAGAGAGGGACTTTGCCTCCGCCGCCCAGCTGCTGTGCCTGTCATTGGCCCCTTCAACACTGGCCTTGTGGCTTTCATCCTGTGCTGCTGTGCCTTTCCGTTCCGCAGCCTCCTCAGAGAGGCAGATCTGCATCCCCGCTGCAGAGACAAAACTGAGGCCAGCCAAGATGGCTGACTTGTCTGAGGCCATCCACTTGGCCAGGGGGACAGGAGCAGTGTGCCAATATCCAACCTATATCCAGCGCTCCTCCTGCAGACTATCCAGGAGAAGACCCAAGTCTGTGGGCAGGGTTGGGCCTTGCATGAGCCTCACTTGGCCTGGGTCATCTGATGCATGGCCACCCTGGCCTCAGCACCACTGGGTTGCCATGGGAACTGCCCCGATGGGGAGGGGTTAGGAGCAGGCAGAGACATCTGGCCTCTGGATCTGTGGACGGCTGAGACCCCTACAGGAAGTCCTGTTTGAGGTCTCTTGGCAAATCAAGGGCTCATCCTGCTTCACTTACACCCTCTACCATGCCAGGCTGCTGCCTTGCGGGAGGCGGGGTCTGCTCTGCTGGTGTCTGAGGCCCACAGGAGGCTGGAGAATGGGCAGGGCAGAGATTGTGAAGGGAGGTTTTGCCCAGGGCTCTCAGGGCTCCCACCGTATCCCCTAGCAAACATGGTGGGGGGCAGGCGAGCAGGTGAGCCGCTCTGCAGGTGCAGTGGAGGCTGGAGTCAGGTGACGTGGTGTGGTGCCCAAGGGATCCCGCCACCGAGCGAGGTCAGAGCGGGGGGCCTTGTGCCTGGCCCTGCACTCTCTACTCTGCAGGGGGCCAGGTCTAAGGCTCCACTCAGGGGGAGGGTGGCTAAAGGGACAGGTACCGGGTCAGGGACAGTCTGCCAGTGAGACAGCCTTGGGCCTGAGGCCACCCTGGGCCTTGGGTTCCTAACTATGCTTTGCCCAAGAAAACGTGTTGTCCCCAGGGTCCCTCACTCCATCCCCTGGCTGAGGCCCTCACCTGGCAGAGGCCTGGGCTGGTGTCACCTCCACCAGGAAGCCTCCCCGACCCCTGCTGCTTCCTTGGTGACGGTCTTTTCCAGTAGAGGTGGCCTTCTGGATGTGTGTGTGTCCAGAGAGACGCTGACTCAGAGTGGGCTGCACATGGCCGAGGCCTGACTTCTGGACCCCTGGTATGAAGGAGTGAGCTCCCCGTCCACGGGGGATGTAGGGCGATGGTGTATGTTGTCGCTTGTGGCTCAGGGCAGGAGTCTGGGCCGAGGTGGACAAATATTGTAGGAGACAGGATGGGCCTGGTGCCTGGGCCCTGAGCCGGAGCTAGGGCCACCTCATTTGCTGTCCTCTAACAGACCTTATTGTTGCAGCTGCACAACATCACCCTGGCCCTGGACCTGCTGAAGGATGAAGGCCTGCTCAGTCAACCCATCAGCCCCGAAGGTGAGGGTGCTGCACAGCGCATGGGGACAAGTGTGTCCTCCGGCTGGCTGAGGCCTCACCTCTACTCCCCCATGGAGGAGGCCGGGAGTGGGGGCTGCAGTCCCTGGGGATGGGGTGTCCAGGGAAAGCAGACCTTGAGGAGTTGCTGTGTTGGAGCGAGGGGGAGGCCGGGTCATGGTGGGCACTGGGCAGGACTCAGGCCCCGTGGGACGCACTGTCTGGGTTTTCTGGGGACTCCCCTGCCTCAGCACTGGGAGCCCCGCCCCCCAGCAAAACAGATCAGCGGATCGCCCCGCTGTCCGCCAGCCTGACTGGCTGCCCTGCCCCTCTGGCCCACAGATATCATGAACAAGGACAGCAAGAGCACGCTGCGGGTGCTCTACAGCCTCTTCTGCAAGCACAAGCTGAAAGCAAACGAGGACGGGATGCCCCGGGGAACCCCAAATTAGCTGCCACCAGCCCCTCAAAGCTATTTCTCCCACCTCTGTCCTGTTTCCTTCGAATGAGTGTCCTAGGTGTGGAGCCATTTGGAGTCAAGCTTGCCTTTTTCACTTTAGTTTTGCTAAATTATTTCTGGGGAGCTCTGGGAGCCCTGACACACGCGCAAAGGTGAGCTCAATTCCCAAGCTGTGACAGGTCTCAGCAGCCTCCGTCCTGTCCTGTGGGGCTGCATGGGACTCCTTTGGGGTGCGGGGCTATGAGTTGATGATGGCTCAGGACCCAGACCCTGCATACAGCTCCCCACTGCCTGCCTCCCACTTGGGGTGACAGTCCTGGGGCCCCCACCCAAAAGCAAGAGCCCCTCGAGGCTCCAAAAGCAAGCCCCCACGCTGCTCAGGGAAGTGAGCTCAGTTACTTGCCAAAGCAGCTGAGGCCCAGGCCAGCCCCTCCAGCTGTGAGTGTGAGACTGGCCCAAAAGTTGTGCAGAAGAAATCTCTGTGGTCGATTAGTGGGTTCAGGTCATCTCCACTCTGTCCCTGGGGGAGCAATCATTGCTCTCTCAAGTGAGGTTTGGCATCTTTCGCAAAGAAAAAGAAACTTGCAGGAGAATTGAGCACAGTTGTTCCAGGACTGGCTCCCAGAGCTGCAGCAGCGGTGTCTGATGAGAAAGAGCTGGAGGAGGGCACCGTGTAGGATGGGAGGGTGGAGGAGTGGAGGGGTGCAGGGGATCCAGCCCTGGCTGCTGCTCCTCCCAGGCTCCACCTGCCTTCCAGGAGCCAACCCCTGCCCCCTGGGAGACAGGGCCTTCTGGCTCAGGCCAGTCCCAGTTTGACGCCTTGGCTCTGGGCTGGTCTCTGGAGAGGAGATAGGGGGCCTGGCCTGTGGCCTGTGGAGCTTGGGAGGACGTCCTGCAGGTTGACACGGGGAGTCTGAGAAGGTGGCACCACCAGGATCCCAACCACCTGCCCCGCCACCTCCTGATTCATAGAGCAAACCAAAGCCTTTAGGTGGGTCCCATGGGAGCCCTCAGCCACATCAGATGCACGCCGATCCGCACCTGCATCCCCTTCCCTGTGTCCCTGGGCAGGGTCCTGCTCCTGTACCATGAGTGCCCTGCCCCCTCCTCCCTTAGAACACCCTCCAGCCTTGCTCTCCTCCCCCTCAAGAGTCTGGGGTCGTGCACGGGCCAGGACCCCACCTTTTTACACGCCAGGCTGTGTGGCCAAGCCAACATCCACACCCCCTCCCAGGGTCTCTGTTCCCTCCACACTCAGGCCTCACCCTCTGCAGATGGTTCAGTTCGGCTACCCAAGTTTTCACCACATTCCATTTAACAGCAGATTTTCAAAAACAGTAGAAATAAATTAGCTTTTCGTGGCTTGATTGAGGAACAATTCACAAGCAGTGAACTTTCCCAGCTTAAGTGTGCACGGTGACAGGGTCTGGCAGATCTGTACAGCAGGTGTCATCCCCAGCAGGGTTGAGACTCGAAGGTGCCCATCACCCAACCAGTCCCCAGGGCCCTTTAGGTCCAGCCCCTTTGGCCCATCTGCTTTCTGTCACCATGGTTTTGACTTTTCTAGGATTTTTCATAAACTGCTTCAAACAGGATGTCACCTTTGGGGTCTGGTCTCCTTCCCTCAGCCTGAGGCTATTGGTGTCGTCCACGTTGTTCCTGTATCACCAAGCCAGCCCTTTTCATGGCTCCTAGGACAGGACCATTGCATGAGTATTTTATAAATTTCACAATGTTATTTTTGCTTAAAAAGACAACGTCTTTAGAAGAGATCTTTAAGCACTAAGAAGAAGGTCTTACATTTAGCCACACATTTGCCATGTCCAGTGCCCTTTGTTCCTTCTTCCTTCTGGTATTGCTTTCCACCTGCCTGAACATTTCTGTCTTGGTTCATTTTCTGTTCTTGTTCTGGGGATTACACCAGACCCTCACACTTGCTAGAACACCTGACACTGAGTCATCCGAAAAGAATGGAGATTTGTTTCTTACAGTTCTGGAGGCTGGGAAGTCCAAGGTCAAGGCCACACATAGCAAGGGCTTTTCTGCTCAGCTGTCCCATGGAAGAAGGTGGAAGGGCTAAGAAATCACATGAGTATGGGAGAAAAAGACATTGAACTTGAAGCCAGAAATTCCTTATAATCAGCATTAATCCTTTGACACGTGCAGCCCTCATGGCCTAAAAACCTTCAGTGAACCCCATCTCTAAACTTTGCTTTTATTGGGGATTGAGTGCATGCTCTTTGATGGTCACATCCAGACCAAAGCAACTTCCTTTAACATTTCACATGGTGCTGCTCTGCTTTTAATGAGCTTTTGTAACTACAGAAACAGATTCTGTTTTGCAAGATAATTTCTCTGGGTATAGAATTCTGACTGACAACTTTTTCTTTCAGAACTTTAATGGTGCTGCTCCCAAGTCTCCTGGCCAGTGTGGTTTTCAGTATAAAGTCCCCTGTCCTTTTCTCTGGTCCTCTACAATATATCTTTTCTCTTTGGCTGCTTTTAAACACTCATTTTAGCGAGGTTTTCAGCAATGTGAATATGATGTGCTTTGGTATGAAGTGTTCCATGGTTCTGATTGGGGGAAGTTGAGCCTTTTGATTCTGGAGGTTTATGATTTTCATAAAATTTGGAAACACTTTGGCCATCATAATATTTATTTTTGTCTCCCTCTCCTCTCCTTCTTTGACTCCAACTGCATATTTGTTAGATGGATTGATATTGTCACACGAGTGACAATTATTTTATTGCCATGCTGGGGCTTGAACCCAGAGCCTCACTCATGCCAGGCATGTGCTCTACCCCCTGAGTGCCACTCTCCATTTTATTTTCTCCATTTTATTTTCAGTCTCTTTTTCTCTCTTCCATTTTGATGATTTCGCTTGCTGTGCTCCAAGTAGGTTGATCTTCTCTTTAGTGGTGTCTACTTGGCTCTCATCCATTGTACTTTTCATTTCAGAAGTTGCATTTTATCATCATAAGAAGTTTGGTTTGAGTCTTTTAAAATATCCTCCACTTCCCTCCCCTTCACATTCCTGCTTTCTTCTACCTTTGAGGACATGTGAGGTCTTATTTATACTGTAAATGTCAGTGATGTGTAAACACCCTTGTCAATGAATTCTGTCATCTGGGTTATTTCTGGGTTTCTTTCTACTGATTGATTCTGTTCCTGGTTATGGTTCATGTAATGTTTCGGATACTCAGTGATTTTTTGTTTGCTTGTTTTGTTTTTTTGGTACCGGGATCAAACTCGGGTCTTTGAGCTTGTGAGGCAGGCGGTGGAACCACTGAGCTAAAACCTTGGCCCTACCTAGTGGTTTTTTTTTTTTTGGTACGGGAGATCGAACTCCGGTCCTTGTGCTTGTGAGGCAAGCAGCGGAACCACTGAGCTAAATTCCCAGCCCCCTACCTCGTGATTTTTAATTGGATGCTGGACATTGTGAAAATTTACAGTGTTGAACACTGCGCTTCTTTTCAACTATTTCTTTCCTGTATTCGGGCTCTTTCTGAGATGCAGTTAAGTCATCAGAATCAGCTTGAGCCCTTGGATATTTCCTCTTACACTTTTTAGAATGGATCTAGGGCAGATTTAAGGACTTCTCTGGGTCCACAATGGACAACACTTACCTGCCAAGTGCCCATGTCCTGTGTATCAGGAGGTCTTTCACCTGGGCTGATCACAAACTATGAGCTGCTTAGTTTCATGGGCTGTTCAGCTTACTCCTTTCCTGTAGCTCTTTCCCTAGCACTGGCAGCTATGAATGGTCCCTCACATGCATGTGACATCAACATCTGACCCAAGGGGACTCCTATAGCTCCTAGGGCTCACTGTCTGCAGCACCTCCTTCTGTCCCAAACAATGTAGTTGTCTTGGTTTTCCCACACCCCAAATTCCATCTCCTCAACTCTGGGCCATGTTAGGGTTCCTGTCCTTGTGTTGCAGCCTGGGGACCCTTCAGCCGGTGAGCTCGGGCACGCACAGGGTGCCTCCTCCTCTTCCTCCCCTCTCAGACACCCCTTTCCTGCCCTCCTGCCATCCAGGGCCTGAGAACCACTGCTTACAGATAGTCTGTGCGGAGAACAGGGAGGTGGGCCCAGGGCCTGTTCTCCCATCGTGGCTGGAGGACAGAGCTTCCGACTGCCCATCAGGGACCCCTGAGCTGGGCTTTTCCCTGGACTCTGGGTTGCAGATTTCCCGGGTCTCCCTGGGGTCATTTCTCTGTGTTTTTCCTGGAGGATGCTGCTGGCTCTCTCTGCCTTTCTACCACTGCCTCTCCCCCTGATGTCCCCTGCCTCCGCGTTCCTGTCTCTCTCCTCTGAGGGCCCCTCTGCCATGTCTGCCCAGCTCCAGCCCCTTTTTCTTTCCTCTGTTTAATGTGGTGAGACATACATGACACAAAATGTGCCTGCTTTACCTGCAAGGTTCCACAGTATTGAGTATGTCCACCTTGCTGTGTGGTCAGCACCAGCACCCAGCTCAGACTTCATCTGGCGAAGGTGACACTCGGTCCCATCAGACAGTAACCCGCCCTCCTCCTCCTCCTCCTCCAGCCCCAGGCAACTGCCCTTCTCCTTTCTGACTCCCCCTGGGGTGCCCACCCCAAGCTCTCCACATCACGTTACAGCTCAGCTCCCTGCCCTCCCACCTGTGCCACCGCTGGCCTCCCTATTTTCCAGAGTCCTGGTCCCCAGGCCTGAGACCCGAGGCCCACTCCTCCCCCACCTGAGCACAGATCCTGTTCTTCTGGTCGCTCTTTCTTCTCATGGCCTCCTCCTTCTGCTGCTGTCTCCTGCCTCACCCCTCTGACTCCATTTCTCCCAGGTCGAGCCAGGCCTCTCTGATGGCACTGGCCAGGACGCCCCCATGCCACCCACGGAGGACTTAGCACTCACAGGAGTGAGGACATCCCTTGAGGAGCAAGTCTGGGACAGGATGCCCTTGGGAGAAGGATTCATGACTGGGGATCCCGGGGACCGGGGGTGGGCGGGGAACGGGCTCCATGAAGGAGACCGAGAAGGGGTAGAGCAGCCCCTGCCCACATCCAGCTCTGTCCGTCTCCCTCTCCCTCCGGCGCTGCATCGCTCCCTCCATCTCGAGAAACCCGACTCCAGTCCAAGCCCACAGAAGCTGGGAGCCGCCATAATTGCAGTGGGCCGAACTGGAAGGTAGCCAGGGCTGGAGAAGGAGCCGGCAGCCCAGAGCTTGGTGTGCAAACAGCTTCTCGGTGACGGGAAATGCCTCGAAGGCCGGGGTGCCTCGGAGTTGAGCCGCTTCCCAAAATAATCCAGGGGCAGCTGTCTCAGATTCTGAAACTGGGTCTGGCCGCCCGAGCTGCAGGAAGCCCCAGGCCCACACCAGCCCCGCTTGGGGAACAGATGGTGCTGGGATTTTTCTTTCTTTTACCAAAGCTGGTAAGCGAACAGCTTGTCTAGAGGAAAGTGTGTTCCTTCCCCCTTTGTGCTGGCCACAAATCAAAGCTATCTCTTCCCTGTGCCGACCGTCATGGCCTCCTCTGGCTTCTCCCTATGAGGCTAGGGTAGGCCAGGTGGGGGCACTGCAGGTCTTGCCCACCCACAGCTCACCTAGTCCCACCCACTGCAGGGTGCAGACCCTCCTGGCTCCTTGATGTTCGAGGGCCTGAGCTGAGATGGAGCTCAGATTCTGAGGGCCTGGTGGGTTGGAAAAGAGACCTTGGGGATGGAAATCTTCTCAGATCTAGCTGGCTGGACTGGGCCTGACCAACTACTGCCTGCAGTCTTTCCTCCATCCACCTGCATTTCCTGTGGAGTGGCATGCCTGTCACCTGAAAAAGCAACACAGTGACACCCTGGCGGGTTTTCACAGCTGCGAAAATAAGTGTGCACAAGCCATTCCCACTAGACCTTCCTGAGCACCTGCTGTGTGCAGGCAGGGGGCTGAGAGCTGGGAATGAAGAGAGAGCACAGACCGAGGCTCTGTCCCAGGGAGCTCAGAGCCCAGGGTCAGCAGGCTGAGGGTGCAGTGGTCAGAGTGTGGTGCCCTGGGGGGTGGACATGAAGTTCTTCCTGTCCATGCTCTGTGACCCTGGATAGATCACTTATCTCCCTGTGTCTCAGTGTCCTTGTGTGTCAAATAGAAGCAATCAGGAATCTATTCTTCACAGGGTTACTATGAAAATTTAAAAATGAGAGAGAAAAAGTTTAAAACATTGCTGGGCATCTAATATTCAATAAAATGTTATATAACATCATCAGTGCCATCACCAACACTGCCATCATGACCACTGTCATCAGCTGTGTTAGTCACCTTACCATCACTGGGACAAAATACCCGACACCTGCAACTTAAAGCAGGAGGTGGTTATTTGGCTCATAGTTTCAGAAGGTTCAGTCCATGGTAAGCTCCAAGGCAAAAATGGCATGGTAGAAGGGCCTGGCAGAGGAAAGCTGCTCAACCTATGGCAGCCAGGAAGCAGAGAAAGAGGGAAGGGGTGGGCACGAGAAGATACATTTCCAAGTCATGCGCCTAGTGACCCGCCTCCTCTAACGAGGCCCCATCTCTATGAACTCACCAACCTGTATAGTGTCCTATGATCCATTCACCTTCCGAAAGTCCCACCT